AAGCAGTGGTATCAACGCAGAGTACTATCTCATTTAGAAACGCCACTTAAACACGCTTCCCTTGTGAGTTGCAGGAGAGTTGTTATATAATTTTTTGCAGAAGAGTTGTTATATTAGGTCGTTTCAAAAGTAATTTCGCTTTTTTCAAACGGGCACCACATTTGACGGAGCAAACGTTATTAAGAGATCTTGGCAGCCTTCGATGCAGAATTTCATTCTCTTTCTAATGGTTATGAAATTGCAAAACAATCAATGAGCTTTCAGAAAATAACCAAAATCTACGACCCATGCTTTTTGAGATGGTCAAGTTTCACGATTTTTTAAAACTTTCATATCAATCCTCAGAAGGAGTTCAAGTAACGTTCGATAGAAACCTTATAGAATACAGTACTACTTTTTCTCCTTTCCATAGCTTGTCATACATTTTTAACAGAATTATAACTGATGCTACCGATTTCCATACTTGGGCAGCTAAATCCTCGTAGAATATCAAAAGAAGAGCAGCTCGCGCACAATTCGGTGCAGCATTTTCTCCTCTTTCTAACGGGTGTTTTTTGTTTCCGACTCGTTTAGTTTCCGGGGAGAAACCATCATGACATTTTTTTAGCGAGCTCCAGGCTGTACCCGAAAAACTCGAAATTTGATATTTCGGACCCGTAAACTCTCATTTGCTTTGTAAAATCATATTTAGTCATATACCACCTTGGAAGTTTCAAATCCCGAAAATTCATTGGTGTTTGTTGCGATTGTGGCTGAGGTGGGCCTGCCAAAATCCAATGGTTCTGTTAAAAAATCTTCTGAAAAATTACGGCGAGCCAAGAGAAGGAGAAAAAAGTAGTGCTGTATTCTATAAGGTTTACTCTATCGAACCCTTACTTGAACTCCTTCTGAGGATTGATATGAAAGTTTTAAAAAATCGTAAAACTTGACCATCTCAAAAAGCATGGGTCGCAGAGTTTGGTTATTTTCTGAAAGCTCATTGATTATTTTGCAACAATTTCATAACCATTAGAAAGACAATGAAATGCAGCATCAAATGCTTCCAGGATCGCTCAGAAACCTTTGTTCCATCAAATGTGGCGCCCGTTTGAAAGAAGCGAAATTACTTTTGAAACGACCTAATATAATTTTACATGATATCAGCCTGCAAACTGCATTGCAGCAACAAATACGGAAGCAGCTTTTTGAAGAGAGCTTTCGTCACAGATGCTTCTCGGAAAAAATTGTGATTGGTCTGACGTGAAATCGTATTATCAAGCCATGTCTTCTGTTGTTTTGAGGAAACAGTCAATCTCGAACGATTCAAAATATTTCATGTTGAGAATCGCGTTTGCTTCGTAGAAGAAGCTGCGAGCGCACAACTTTGGCATTTTTCCAGGCAGAGATCAAGGAGAATGAAGAGACTCAGACATGGGTTTCTAATAATTGCCCTGTGATATGTTGTTCCTGCGATAGGACGCGAAACTTACGAGGTGACCCGCCATATCTATACTGGTGTAAACTGGATTGAAACAAAATGTACGGTACTGCAAATCAAGAATGGTCAAGATTTATGCACGAGCGCCTATTTATAAGGGAAGGAAGGTTGTTGAAGTGGCCTTTTGAAATGAGGTGTATACTGCCTTGTAGAGCTTGGAACGCTGATTCCAAATCTACCCTTGCTATCTGCTTCTGGGAGAGGAGTTATGTTTTTGTGTTTTTGTTTTTGTTAAGGTTTTTGTGAGTAAAAATCTGAATGCAAAAATAGGGTAAAATCAGTCGTTACCTTTCCCCAATGTTCAAATGATGCAGCAGCTACTTAGTATATTTGAATCAAGAATATTTGTTGCACCGAGTGACCCGACTACCATTTAAGCCCTATAAAAAATGTTACGACTGATTTTAGCCTACTCTTGCATTCAGATTTTTACTCACAAAAACCATCATAACTCCTTGCCCAAAAGCCCGCAGCAGATAGCAAAGGTAGATTTGGAATCAGCGTTTCAAGCTCTACAAGGCAGTATACATCACATTTCAAAAGGCCGCTTCGACCAACTCCTCTCCTTGTAAGAATTGGCGTACACGTTTTCGATACGTATTGATTGATCTTTTCTATCGTATGCCTTCCAGCCTCAACAGGACGTGGATTGGTGAAGCACCATATCACTTAGGGCTTGCGCCAAGTTGCTCTTCTCGCTAAGCCACGCCGAATGAGAGTCCACTACGTGGCGCAAGCGAGGCGGCGGGCACCAATCCACGTCATGTTGAGGCTGGAAGGCATACGGTAGGAAAAATATTACGTATTGAAAACCACTGTACTTACTTCGTTCGTTCGTGTATAAAGAAATCATAGACTCGTTTGTACGTGCATATTCGCATCTTGGTCTGAGTTTTGTGAAAGATTAAGATTACAGCACAGCTATCAGGATGTTGGGGAACTAAAGAGATACTATTTTTATCATTTCATCCTTCTCTTGTGGTCCACCATAGATGGTGGCGCAGCAAATCCAACACGCATGTGAAATGAAAATTGAAAAAGCTTGCAAGTTTTCCTGAAATGGCTCAATCACGCAAAAACAGTCAGATATTCCAAAAAAGTAATTTTTCATCTCAATTATGGATGAAAATCATATGTTGGCTCTTAATTTGCAAAAGAAAGAATGATAAATTCGGGTGCTGCATATGCATACATATAGTACGAAAGGACTATGAAAAGCCAATCAAAGGCAAACCTGCTGGCGACGAAAGAATAAATAATAAATGCTCAATACTCATTATCATATCTTCTATTCTAAAGCTTTAGGAGCACTGAGCTCCTGTATTCAAAAACTATTTCCTTACCCTTTCAAGAAAAAAAGTCACCTCATATGTTCCACTGCACGGGCTTGTTTAAAATTCCATTGCTCAAGCGGCTAGCCTTACTATTTGACTTATCTATAAAACGCGTCGATGGTTTTACTTGGACTAAGATAAAATGTCAAAAGCTATGAAAGTCCAACCATAGCAGTGAATCATTCTGTTTAAACTACGTTTCAAGGTCCATTATTTTGCAAACGAACTGAAAAAGCTCAAGAAGAGTGAAGTGCAATGTTTAACCAAAGTTAACATAAAGGTTTTCTTTCAACGTATTCTAATGTTTTTTCCAGCCTCTATAAACTATAGTGATTTGGTTGGAAGCGTCGACTACAGCAATCATGCTTGCTACAATCCTTATCGCGGTTTTTCGTAAGTCATCGATCTTCATAATTATTAGGCTCTCATATAATTCTCTCCATATCTGGCTTTTTCATTGACATAGGTTCTTTTTTACATATTTAATGTGATGCAGGGCAGCATTCGACAGATCAAAACAAGCTCTACAAGATGGCGCTAAGAAGTTCGCATGAAGCTTGATCCGCATTGAGTTTCAAGACAGTAAAAAAGGTTCCGAACTTTTAAAGAAACGAAAATAATCGTATTTCAATTTAGAACAGCTCTACGGACTTCCCACTCGCACACGCATTTACTTTCCTCATCTCAGATACTTACACACACTTACTTTTTGAAAGCAAGAAAAAAGGTATGCGCCTAATTTTTTCTAATTTTGTCTATAGCCACTCTTGTTCCACGCAACAAATGATTACATAGCTGATTGACTTAGGAATACTGCCACAAATCGGCAACCTTGTAGGTACTCTAGTTCTTGAGAAACATCATTCTGAAAATTCGGATATGAAAAGCCTTATGATTCAAAGTAACAACTGAATTCGCTTTCTTGCAGTAATTTCTGCTACGACAGAAGATTGTCTGAAATGCATTTGCAAACGCGAATCAGGATGTAAGCCTATAGGATGCCATATGGATGTTGGATCACTTTCGTGCGGTTACTATCAGGTTATTTGTGATAGTGTGAAGATGTCCGCGCGAAAGAATTACGACTGTGAAAATACAGTACATTTCTAGATCAAGCTTCCCTACTATAAGGACTGTGGGACTCCGGGACGCAAGCGTGGTGAGTCTGTAGCCGCGGCTTGGAAGAGGTGCGCAAACGACTACAGCTGCTCAACCACATGCGTCAAAGTTGGTTACCCTAGTCATCTTTACATTTGCCGATCACTTCTATGCATCTAGGCGTACTACAACCGTTACAAGAGATTATGCCCTTCGAGTCAAGGAACTTGTCAGAAAATGGCACGACTGCATAATGGAGGTCCGTCTGGGTGCAAGAAACAGGCCACAGTTGGGTACTGGAACGCCGTCAAGAAGTGTTGCGGATGCACTTGAACAAAGAAGTTGCTTTTCAATACCTTGCTCGATTACTAGAAATTCGAGAAAGCCAATAAATAATTTTGTTACAAACCTTTTGAGAATACTCATCTCGCTCCCATACCTTCTCGCTTAATTTGATCTTGCTCTTCATGCAAAACATCAGTCGAGAATCAAGCAGAGTATACGGGATAGATTACGCTTTCCAACGAAGTCGGTTGTATTTCAAAGCCAATCTACCAGCCGCTCTCTGGCGCTACACGGCAGGTCCTGCTGGTACTCAGCAGCTTTGCTACCTCGTAGATCTTTCGTAATACTCTGTAGAGCGGGAATGCGTAGATTTGAAGAAGGTTTGTCATTACTTCGGTTGTCGAATTATTTCGGTTTATAGAATGCGTAGAGAAAAAACTGAGGACACAATTCCGTATTCGTCAGTTTTTATTCAACGTTCTAAGCAATGCATTTGAGCAGTCCGTTGCTTTACGAAGTAAATGACGGTATCACGGACTTGAAATTGAAGGCATTCAAAAGAAGTGCGATTGGTGAGATTGCCGTCATAATATGAATATGCAGTACGGACGGGATACAAGGGTCATGTAAGCGAGTGGATAAAGTGGTCATGTGTGATAATTTTTTTGAGTATCTTCTTAATTTGATTGATGCTGTAATTCCGTTCAGCTCAGCGGAAAATGCAAATTTTAGCATTCGCTGAGAAGCCTCATTATTTGCCTACCAGCGAAGCCGTATATGTGTCCTATGAGATTTGATCAAATGCTCGAATAAGGCCTGCATCGCGGCCTCGGTCGAAACATCATCGGTGTACAGCAGTGACATAATCAGGACTTCCGTCCGAGGAGGGGGGGGGACAAGAATTTTTTTCTTGATGAAGATGCTTGGCGTTAGCCACGCTCTTCAAAATTTTTCACATGCTTCCCAAAATTTTCGCGGACTTATAAGTTTTTGAAAAAAAAGGGGGGGGGGGCGCCAGTTACGCCCCCGATAATTTTTTTACAAGGTTAAAATGAATTTTTACCTTTTAGAAAATTATTCTAATTAATAACACTGTAAACAAGCCACTTGCGCATTTCTGTAACTCATATAATAGAGATAAATTTGTGCGTATTAATTAGCAGGAGAGCAATATATTCAGGAGTTTCGCAGTTTCGAATTTTAGATGCATTATCCTTTTAGGTCTAGCCGATTTTGCAGTGCCCAGTCATACACTATTAATTACACTGCAAATTTTTTTACGATGAGGGACACAAAACGATTACGCAAATGGTTTCTATTTATCGCCTCATCCAAATCACGTGTCATCACGACTCCGCCCCTTGCAGCCATTTGAGAACCTATGGTAGACATTTGACCAGTGAAGTAGGGCACACGTCCGTTTATACGCCTTCGTATCACAGACGCCCATGAACGACTTGTAGGCTGCCGACGGTGTATGAGATCTAGACTGAGTTAGGAAAATGATGTCGTAAATCTTGCAAAACAGCTTCTTAGCCAAGAGCTCTGAATTTCCTAACATCTAGGTGATAGGTTAAGAGAATTGCTAAACACTGCAGTATTTGTCGACCTCACATCGCAAATGCTATGGCAATGGTCTGATTCTCATTAATTTTCTGCTAGCCGTATTTGAACAGCCGAAATGAATGCTCTTTGGAAAATGTCTTTATTTCTCTTGTAAAACTTTGTGAGTGCCGCTAATGATACATTGAAAAATGGTATGCACTGTATTCTATATTTGATGAAGCAGTGCAAGGACACACCAACATCCGCGCGCTGACATTGGAGGGAGTTGGTTTGCCTTTTTTATGTATTTTTTGATTGTAAAATTCTGAGGTAGAGCAAGGCTGCCATGCTGGGGGAAGGCTTTGATAGTATACATAAAAGCAAAAATCTTCTACCTCAATGGTCGGAATGTCAGACCACCACTACCAATTAATATACAGATTTACAAACACCACATATGCCCGCATAGCATACTAACTACTCAATACTCTATCTCTTCTTTGTTCTACAATTCGGGTAGTGACAGCGAGCAATATTTATAGTGCAATTTTAAGCGAAAACTCTGCTTATTGGGTTTATCGTTGTCGGACTTCACTTTCGGAGGTGTCGACGAAGGAAACTTGAAGGACATAAGTTAGCAATTATGTGCCATTTGAGGTAATGATCCCAAACATTAAGATTTCAAAAGTAAATTTGTGATAATGCATCTCTGTCAACCATGGTAGAGTTGACCGTTTACAATACTGCTAAGCTTGAGTCTTCAAATGCTCTACAATAAACGCTATCGATTCTTGTTAGAAGCATACTAAAGTCGCTTGTGCAAGTATTTTCGCTTTGATTGCCTGTAAATGTGCGTATCAAATGTTAAGTGAACAGCACTGTAGAAACATCTAACAGCGAGAGTACGATTCTCGTTGTCACTCATACTTCAGCCAAGTAACAGGTCGAGAGTATCTCAAACAAATAAATGTTTGGCAAGCAAAAGTTTATTGTTAGCTGCCGACAACTACGATATCAATGGTTGAGAAGGTGTTGACAAAATTGCCGGGTGATTTTCAAAACTCGGTTTACGCATCGCTTTACATCGCTTCGTCCTGAAAGTTTACCACTTGCTTCTACTCATTTTTTAACGCTTTCAAGGCAGTTAAGGTCCTAATACCAAACGAAGTACGAAGTGCAGGTAAAGCATAAAAGCCGTCGTCTTGGAACACCTTTGGCACTATTGTGAGCAAGTGGAACGCTAATGGCATCGGGGGCAAGCGCAGAAAAACGGCGCTTGAAAAGCACAGAGTATCCCATTACGAGCATCTAAGCCGTCGCGGCTCGGTTCGGGCCGCCTCGTTCGGCATGCTTCAAAAAATTATGCACGGTATGGTGTTGCGAGCAGTATATGGTAGAAATCGTTCTTGGTGATCAAATATCTGCTGATTTGGATGTACGGATTGAACAAAGCTTTGTAGCATTGCTTACGAGGGGAATAATTAAAAGTCAAAGTGCCCAATCTAAACACACTGCTTATCATTAGATGCAGCATAGAAGGCGAATTCAAACCTGTCTTCTATATCTGATGAACGCCTTTGTCGAAGAGTGTTGCAAAGAATTGTCTTGGCAAAGTGCATATTTGGGCTTATAGATCTATGTTATCTGCTGATTTGGATGTACGGACTTAGGCTTACATAGCCGGGCCAAAACGTGCAGCTAGGTTACCCAGTATAATATAAACCTTAAGTGAACCAAAAAGGCAATGTGCATGTTTTCGCTGATTATATGTGCGATTCTTCTGCAACAAAACTGCTCAAAAGTTCGTGTACAAAGATATTCTGCAGACGCGAAAGGTAGGTCTAAAATCACCGTTCTATATTTTGCACCCAATGGTGTGTAGCTTGTTTAGAATGACCACTTCCACTTCTGACTAGTCCCTTGCTAGATTTATATAATTAGCTCGAGCGGTAATTTTACGCTAGCACATTCTAAAAAAGCAATACTTTGATCTTTGCAGAACAAAAAATGTCCGTAAACTTCTAAATGCTAAAAACCGATTTTGATTGCCGATTTCAATTTTTTTCTCAAGTCTCTATACAATATCGCTTTGTGAAGAAAGACGCACAGTTGCCCGATTCATGTGACATCACCCTCGTGACCACATTTTGCTCCAAAGTGGACGAATTCTTAATCCAAGGACACCATCCGACTCAGCTTGGAGCGGCGCATCTTTTGACATATAGAAGTGCCTGCTTGGACGCAGTAGGAGGCCAGATTACATGAATCTTTTCAGGTTTTTGCCTGGGATAGGCTTTCAGTGAGTGCAATGAGTAAGTATACTAAGCAATCTACCGTAAGCAAAAATCTGAAATGATTCGTGTAATCTGGCCTCCTACTGTGTCCAAGTGGACAATTCTATACATCAGAAGACTCGCCGCGCCGAGCTGAGTCGAATGATGCCCTTACATCAAGAATGCGTCGGCTTTGAAGCGAGATTTGGTCACGTTACGGCGTTGTCCATTGAATCGGGCGAATGTGCGTCTTTCCCTTACAAATTGAGCGGAAGGCGTAGATATTCGTACCGGGAAACTAAGTATTGTGCAAGCTAGCTATTTTTATTGTAATTGGAAGGAATCCGAGAGAAGAACGTCAGCATGCTGCGTAAGTCGTTCCTAGATGTGGCTTTTACTTATGGCAAATGTGCCCTCAATAATCTACTAAACCGGGCTTTGAGTGTAAGCCGGAAGCTAATAAATTTGTCGCTATGCTACTGATGTAGTCAAAAAACGTACAAAAACTAGAGCCTCACAAACATTTGTCAAATCACTTGGCTTATTCGTAGGCAAATTGTGATGCTGTTTTGTAAGCATAGTTAACCTAAGCTGTAAAATTGTAAAAGGATAAAACAAAGCAATAGCAAAATATCGTATGTATATAATAAATGCAAATTAAACACTGTTTAATTACCAGTGTTTCTGTCAATGACATTCATAATTTCTAATTCAAGAGCATCCGCAGCAGTTCCTTATAGCATTCCAGTATCCAAGGGTAGCAGCGGTCCTGCATCCAGATGGACCACCATTGTGCAAACGTGACGCGATCTGGCATGGCCCTTGGCCGGTCGAAACGCATCCTCCTTTATAGCGGTTGACGTAGCGCTGAACAGAAAACCCTGTTAAAAAGTCGCATGATGGTAAATTTTGGAAGGAACTTGGACGCATGTAGTGGAGCAGCTGTAATCATTGGCGCATCTCTTCCAAGCAGTTGTCACATCTTCACCACCTCTACGTCCAGGGGTACCACAATCCTTATAGTAGGGTAGCTTTATCTAGAATGAGAACAACGATTTCTGCATTTATCGCTTTTGAGATGGAGGTTGAATGAACGATCATTCGTTAGCTGACTTGATAATAACCACACGAAAGTGATCCGACATCCCTACGGCATCCGACTGGTCTACACCCTGACTCGCGATTACAAATACATTTGAGGCAGTCATATGATAGAGCAAAATATGCTGT